AAGGAGCACACTAAATGCTGAGACAACATTGTTTCTCCAAGATATCTGGTGTTCAGCACCGGAGCAACCTGCTGAACACCCAGCCACTCATGATATATGCCTGTTCTGACCACTCACCCGTCCGATGAAGAACCTGCGGTAGCACTTCGCCGTATCGTCCGTCTCGAATTTTGCGTGCCATGTGGTGTGTGGTAGGATGGGGTTTCCCCGTGGGTCGAACGGGCACTCGTGGTCCTGTCCGTCCAGCCAGTATCCGCCACCAGGCGGCAGCAGGATCATCGGGTAGGGAGCCGACTTCTGTAGCGTCTCCTCCAGGAGGCGCTGGGACCCACCAGACGGAGGCGTCGCAGAGACCGCAGGGCGACTGTCATCACGTGACGCCTGCAACCACAAGCAGTAAATAAAAGGGTTTCTGTCTCTATGGCATGACCGTCAAATGGGTGGTCCTCCAGCAATTCCTCATTGAAAACCTACAGTCCCGCGGGGATGTGTGAAAATACCTGGCCTTGGTGGCATATGAAGTAGCTATCGGCCAGTGGTTTCAAGGCGGCCGGAGCACAGCACTGTTCTGATCCCTGCAGGACTGCGGTAAGAAAACGTCAAAAAGTACTCCGGATGTGGAAATGCTGACAGGTATTAAGCCTTCAGGTTCCATAGAAGGGGAAATATTGACATGCTGAAGAGCTAGAAAACATTTAAGAAAACATTGCACTATGCTACAAAACATAAGGTAGCAGGATCGGTTCCCGATAAGGTCATTAGATTTTTCAATTGATCTTTCCTTCCAGCCTCTAACAGAAATGTGCACCAGGAATCTTCCTGGGGGTAAAGGGCGACCGGCCGGCGCGTAAAGCTGACAACCTCACCGTCATCTGTGTGGAGACTGTCTAGAAAAACGTGGGAGCCTCGACGTCTCACAACTCTATGGGCCTCCACGGCTTGTTAGCTTTACCTCTTCTTATTCTACATCATGAACTTAGGTAATAATAATAATAATGGACAAAGTGGCGCTGGGGCAGGTTTTCTCCGAGTTCTTCGGTTTCCCCTGCCAATCTTCATTCCACCAATTGCTCCACAATCACCCTCACCTATCATCTGGGGCTGGTACAATAAGCCAGAAGTGGCCGCAGTACAAGGGACTTAGTCCCACCCCACTAGCAATAAAAAAATAGGTAATAATAAGAGTAAAAGTTATAAAGTAGCTTAATGAACTAAGCACCAAACCATGACGACGCATGGGGGAGTGGATGTATAGCTCCAACATTCTTGACCTCAGCAGTAGACAGAAATGAGTGGTCAGCTTCACGCTACGGCCGCTATACTCCCAGTATCCATTGATTAGAAAGCAGCGTGGGCCCCAAAGCCGGTATGGACGCTGTAGAGAGGAGAAATGTATTTTGCCCCTACAGGGAGACGACCCCCCAATTACTCAGCCATCCTTTCCGCAGCCCGCCCCTATACCAACTGAAATATCCCTGCTCGGTAAGATAATTTATAATAATTTAATATACAATTAGTGAGGATTTATGAGACCAAATGCGACAAGCGTGGTATTTAATAGTTTTTTTTTTCCTTGGCACTACAGCCCCAGTGTGCCTAGGCCTACCTCCATGAACTTCTCCGTTCACTTCGGTTTTTCTAGCTCTTACACATCCGGTAAGACTCCTTGGGCGGGTGATCAGCTCGTCGCAAGGCCTCTACCTGTACACAAACACAGAAAAACGCACACACACAAACTAAACATCCATGCCCTGAGTGGGATTCGAACACACGATCCCGGCTTCCGAGCGAGCGAAGACAGTGCACGCCTTAGACCGCTCGGCTACCGTGACCGGCATTCAATAGAGTTGGTCTACTAGAAAATGCATAATTAATATGAAGACACAAGGAGGCGGAAAATAAAGTACAGAACACGAGGCCCACGATCAAAAAGGTCACAGGGTTCTAAAACTGTGAATCTTGCATTTTAAATAAAAACGAAAGCACAATGGGAGAATGAAGACCAGTCGGACTGGAGTAGCGGTAATGCTCCAGGCTCGTATTAGGGAGGAATTCAGTTCCAATCTCAGTCAGCACAAGGGCTATCCTGCCTGAGGTTTCAATTGCTTTTATTCAGCCCCTAAGAGATAATTCCGGGATAATACCTCAGGCCATGGTAGCTTCTCTCCAAATCCTTTCCAATTCGGTTCTAAAGGGTTCTGACGATGGTGGATGACACACAGAATTACTGGCTTTTTGGACTTTTTCCATCGTCCGGAATTTTAGGTAATAGAGGACACGACACGTAGTGTCCTCTATTATCTAGAATTCCGGACGATGGAAAAAGTTCAAAAACCCAGTATTTCTGTGTGATCATTCATCTATCATCCTCGCATTGCATGCTATATATTCTACCTACTGACAGCATCATAAAATAAGCCACAATATAGAGAGAAGGAACGCAGTAAGAATAGACAAAGAGACAGGTAAGGCATACTTACTGGTCTGAATCTGTCACTGTACTGCAGAAGCGTAATGACCCCTACGTTGCATTCGGAATCACTAATTAGGGATGAGAATTTAGAACTCCATGCGGAATGAGACCATCGGGGAAGCACACCGCATTCCGAGACGTATGCCTAACAATGGCGCTTGACCTCCTGGCCTCAAGCCAGCACGGCTTACAAACTTTCCCCGTCACCACTCCAATAACATAAACGGTATGCTATTTTGTGTAGCACTAAGTCAAGCCGGAACATATATCATTCGAGCCTCCCCTGTAGGCAAGCCCTATGAATATGTATGAAAATTATGTACTTCATACATGACGCCTATTCGTGACGCAAGAAGGATGCCAGAAACAGACTGAGTTACATGATATTGTAACGGACGAAGAATAGTCGCTGCAAGAGGAGTAGCCGAAACAACAGGAGACACTGCAAGCACAGCTACGGGAAGGAAAAGGAACGGGGGTGCACCGTTAGGCTATTCGGGACGAACAGCCTTAAGGAGGGAAAAGCGCAACACGTCACAATATGTTTGTCATGTTCGTGATTACAAACAAGTCAGTTCACTGACTTCTGTCAAACAGTTTTTCAGCGAAGCAGACCACCGGAAGGTCTTGTACGGAGAAAAATCCGTCTGTCTGTAACCTAGTATTACCGATGCTCTTTGTTAACTGAAAGAATTTTACGTTAAGAATATTACAATATTGAAGAAATTTAAGACTACTGTCACGTGTTGGGTACGTCACGCGACAAATAACTTCATGAAGGTCAAGGCTGTAGCGAATATATACTGTACAATCACAACTGCAGTCACCATTACAAATTATCCTGTTCAGTATCACAATTACTGTTCAACCATATCTCGGCGAATGCTGGGCTCCAACTGTCTTCGACAGCGACTCTCTTCAGACTCCAACTTATACTGAATACTCATTCCCTCACTCCTGAATAATGTTCGCTGCTCCTTATATAAGCTTGGCACGGACCACATAAAGAACACATTGCTGCTCGGCAACAGATATCAGGTATTGTTGTCTGGTATGTCTACCTACGCATTGCCTAGCAATAGACGCCCTACTGTTGCGTGACGTCACAGCCTAACGAGGGGTGTTTACCGAGCGTTGTTATGCAATGAACGCTCGTTGCTATGGATATTCCTACGCAACGGTCTCAACAATTTCCACTGTTTCGTTGCTCAGCGATGGGCGATATATAACACGCCACACTATCTTGACTAAATCAGGCATATTATTTTCCTTTGCGCACTACATGAAATTTCGTGATTATCAATAGTGCTCGTCGTCTTCTTCTTCTTCTACCTTTCGTATTAGGCCTTCTGGCCTGTCCTCATCAGAACTAATCTGGAGCTACGGATCTTACAGACAGTAAATAGGATTACTTGGACGGGAGATCAGCCCTGTCGCAAGGCCGCTACCTACACAGGACAACACAAACACAGAAGAAACGCGGACAGACATCCGTGTCTCGGGTGGGATTCGACCCCACCATCCCAGTGTCTGAGTGGGCAAAGACATTTCATGCCATAAACTGAGCGGCCACTGTGATCCACTATACTACTCACAAACGAGAAAAATGTCTTAACGAAATTAGAGTCCTTTAAAAGACAATAAATTAATTACGATAATAAAAGGAAGCGGCAGTAAGACCAAAGCATATCACCGGACATAGAATCTTGAGCCAGCTCCATCTACCAACGAACATCACAATAAACGCACGTCCACAAGATCCATCCTACTGCTTTCCTCCTATCCTGTTTTCGGTCCTGGGAGTCAGAGTCACTTTACGACTGGCGGTTTGTCGCTAATCAGTTAGTCTTGGCGCCAAGCCCCTTGAGAGTCACGACCAGAGATTTTTTTTTTGTAACTGAACCTTTGCGATCATAGTCCTTACGTAATATCTCTTACGAGAGGATGGGTTTGTCTCCTACGAACAGGCTTCTCCTTTGTCAAGAGTACGTAACGCGCACACAGCTTGGTCTACATGGTTATGGAGAATGCCTTTTCTTTCCGGGAAGAGGGCCAATCCGATAAAAGTGATAATTTATAATGAAGAACATCTCATGGGGTTCGAGATGTAAGTCTTGCAGCTGTTTACTGAGCTCATAGCACCGTCTCCAACTGCCGTTTGCATTAAATGCTACGATTCTGAGAGGCCTACGAGCTCTAGCAGCAATTTCTCGGTCCTCCAAGGGTCGTTAAAATATACTGTCACATGGCAACTGAAAGGCCGGAATAGAGGAGTCAGAAAGTCGTCCGTTGTTAGGCTACGGCACGACAAATACCTCTCTGCGGCATCGAACACACGATGTCGCCATAGATAACTGTTGAGGCACTCCTACGCAACGCGGTGTTCTCCATGGGGCCCATGTCGAGGTTATATAACGAAGCCACCAGCCGAGTCGTACAGCGTCAGCCCGTGTGGAGGCGGGTTCGATTACCTCCACCGTAGCTCTGCGAGTCGTAGGAGGCGACGAAAAGGGAACCCGGTGTCTGAGGTTATAACTTGGCCACCCTGTTCCTAGGGGATATAAATATGGGGACGTGGTACTCCGGGTTGGGGGAGTTTCGAGTAAAATATGGTCATGAGTCCTGCGAGACTCGGACCCGAGTATGACTGAGCTGACGAGGACCAGTAGCAATTGTAAACGACAGACCCATCCTCTCAGTGTTCAGTTGAAAAAAAAAATGCTGAAGGGGCCTGGCCGCAAGAGGAGCTCATTGGCGGTAAACTGTCAGTCGTGAAGTAACACTGACTCTGATTCTGTCATACAGAGAGTCAGAGCCAGCGAGTTGCCAACTGAGGAGCAGTTGAGAGTTAGTCGAAGTCGTGAATGTGAAGAGGCACTTCGATCCATGGGTTAGTTGTGAAAGAGCT